TATTCTCCCATTTCAAAAGATGTTTTTGAATACATGAAAAGTTTTAATACAGACTAATTACAGTCTTGCTTTGTTTCCACTGATGTTACAGAAACATTTAGCTATTTTCTCAGACCAATAATGCTTTATAGAATACAGTTTTAGAAAAGGTAATCCATGTGTTTTGTTTAGGAGGGTGGAAATAGCAATTACTCAGAGCTACTTCTTGTGCTTCTCTGTACCCTAAAAAAACTCAGTTTAATTTTAACTTCAAATAGTGAGAGAATACAGAAAGGCTTTTAAAGTGCTCATTCCTTCTTGCCCAGAGTGTTTTTGTCTTCCATGTGAGTTTTTTTGTACACAGCTGGTGAAACTGTAAGGAGTGAAGCATTTGATTGAGAATCTGAGCTGAGGATCCTTTTCATTCAGCAAAAAAGTTTGTCTCAAATTTGTTGCTTCTCTGCCCTTGCTGCTGTGTTGATCCAGGGGCAGAGGAAACATGACATCTTTTGCTCCTCCTCTCCATGCTACCTGTCTCTAAAGTTGGTGATCTCCTTAATCTGGGTCCTGCTTATCTGCTGACAGATAAGGCTCAGTGGTTTAGGTAGAAGTTAAACACTTCTCTTCCCACTGTTATTGTGATTTATTGGCTCGTTGTTGTTCAGAGAAAATGTCCCAGCCAGGTGCAATGCCAAAAAGCAGTCCTTTGCTGCTGGAGTGTCTGTTGGGTTTGTTGTTGTGTAGTACACAGCATTTTCTTACTATTCCACCTCTTTTATATCCATCCTGGTCACCCTGAGGAGCTGATCAGAGCTACCCACCAGGCCAGCAGAGCTGATAAGATTCACAGCAAGACTGTGAGTAAATAGCATTAAGATGGGATGCAAACCAGGCAGAGGTGCACTGGGACAGCCCCTGCTCACACACACAGAGCTGGGATGGCAGATGCTTCCAAACTGCTCGTGTAACAAGCTCCAGCCCTTCCATTTTAAATTGGCACCGTTTGGTGCCAGCTGGACTTTGATGGTCCTTGTGGGTCCCTTCCACCTCAGGGGATTCTATGATCGTGTGATTCATCTGGGGGTGGTGTCCAGGACCAGGAGCAGTGATTACAGCTCATGGTGGGTTGATGTGAGTTAATTTTCTAGCAGATGATCTCCACCTCAGCTGTCTTTCATGGAGAAATTATTTCCTTCCTGGCTGTAGAATCAAAACTATCTTCCACTCTTGGAAGAGAGTTCCATTACACTGGCAGGGAATTTGCTGGTGCTGTCCCTCTGCATTCAGGGTAGTAAATGTGTTACTGTTCCCCTGGACTGAGAATGAAGCTGGTGAAATGTAATTCTGCTTTAATGCCATCTAATGGAGCAGTATCTGGGGGACATCTGCAGATGCCTCTTGTTGCCACACCTGAGGGCAGGTCTTCAGGCTTCATCTCAGCAAAGCATTCATCAAATTCACCAGTTCTTTTCTTGCAAGATCAAGTATCTCCAGATGTGGCTGAGCAGTGACTGCAGATCCTCTCTGCAGTCAGACAGGCCCACAGGGAAGTGGCTTCTTGACCTCCCCAGTGGTGTGGAAATGAAAAAAACACAAACCAGCTTCAGGTAAACTGTGAATACCTCTGTTACATTATGCATTTTTTTGCTAATGATTTTCCTCCATTCTCCAAAGGCCATGGGATGTTTTTAAGGTCTGTCTGACTTTGCTTAGTTTAATGTTATATTGACAAGTGACTTTTTCTCCCTCCACAGCATTAGGAAACTTGGGTCCCTTCTGGTGAACAGGGACCTAAATTAGGAGGCTCATCTGGATGCTTAGTGCTTCTTAGACGTGGTCACTCCTGGCTCTGGTGCTGATGCCACTCACAGCTAAGAACCAACTGCAGGGGAGCAGAGCTTTCAAGATGGCTCTCTCATAACTTTTTCTGCACAGTCCAGGGGCTGCACAGCCATTTCAGATGTCCTTGCAGAGAAGCAGCATCCTGCTTTGCTCCTGCACCTCAGACCTGCTCTGCTGTGCACCGCAGTACAGTCAGTGTGGGAAGCCAAGTCTAGAATGGAACCATCTGCTCTGCCCTCAAAGAGTGTTTATTTAATGCATCTTAACTTTTTCTGGACAAAAAGTATAGTCTGATATGACAGTATAAGAAAAAACCCCTAGGTAAAATCTAGTCCCCAGTTTTTCATGGAGTAAGGAATCTGTACACTGACAAAGCAAAGGAAATCTAAATACAAATGTTTCATCTTGCTTATTGTTTCATTGATTCCAAAACAATGGAAAGAAAATTCCTAATCACTTTCTTAGAGGTCACTCCCTGTTTACCCAGTTAACCTTCAGCTTGCCTAAAATGATAACGTTTTCAATTTAATCCACGAAATATTTACAAAGTAAGAACATTCAATAAATGGGAAAAAAAGAGTTTAAAGCTAATTGTGGGAAGCTCCTATGTAAGCTCAGCTTACAAAGGATCTCTGAGCAGAAGAGCAAATCTTTACCCCCTGTCTCCTTACATTTTTTAAACTTACAGCCTAAAGCATATTTTCTTTTCCCAGCAGTGCTAGAATTCAAGCTGCATCTTTAATTGGTTTAATGGAGCCACAAGGCATTGCATTAGACAGCTTTTTCCTAGTTCACAGAGGTCATATTGACATGTAACTCGTGGCATTTCCTTGTTTCCAAGATAAGATAAAACAAAGGGGAAGTGTTCAGTTCCAGGTGAGTGGGAGAGGGCACCAGAAATGGGAAGAAGATAAGAGTGTTTGATGCAGGTGGGAATTTATCATGGAGTGTCCTTTTGCTCTCAGGTTGCAGTTGCAGAGGGGTCTGGCTGCTCAGAGCATCTCAGCCTTCCTATTCCTGGTTTAAGAAGACAAGTAAATAAGAGAATGATGCAGTGGGATAATGAGCAGTTGATCAGCCAGTGATTCCTTTTAAATCCTGTGAGACTGTAACAGTTTTTCCTAATGATGCTGGGGTAACTCTCAGCATCCTTTCACATTAGAATAGCAGAATAAATACCAGTAAAAGCTACCACTGGCTGAGCTTTCAATCCTGGCCTCCCAGCAGAGCCAAATAAATTCAGCATTAGTAAAACACTGGGTTGGATTTGAACAACCAGATGCAACTTCTTTTCAGGAAATAGATTTATAAATCTTCCCCTTTCTTCAGTGGGGTGTCACATGCTCCTGGTCTCTTCTGCACCAGGGCACGTGGCAGCCTTGACTGGGGGTGATAGGCAGTGGTCCCTCAGTCCTTCCTCCCTGCTGAGTGCAGCTAATCAGCACCACAAGGCTCAGAAGATTCCCTTATTCCAGTTTTCCCCTTCCCACGGGGCACAATTGCTCTTGAGCCCTTAGTGCAGCTCCTGTGGAGGTGAAAACACTCTGTCAGTTCTTTTTCTCAGGGTTTTCTTAGGATTTCTTGGACATCAGGATGAATTTCCTCACAGAAAGGGTGATTCCACGTGGGAAGGGGCTGCCCAGGGAGGTGGTGGAGTCCCCATCCCTGGAGGTGTTCAGGAAATGGTTGGATGTGGCAATCAGTGCTCTGGTCTAGTTGACAACGTGGTGATTGGGCACAGGTTGGACTCAGGAATCCCAGAGGTCTTTTCCAACACAGTTGACTCTGTGATCTTTTGCCAACTCATGGCTGTAAGGGACAAACTGGAGCTCTTGATCATGGGGACTAATTATGGTTCTTGGAGTGGTTTCTGGTGTCCATGTTTCTTGAATGTGAGCTTTACCTTCCAGACTGAGGGCCTAATTCTTCAGCTGATGCCATGGATTGGAAGGTCAATGGGAGTGACTGTGGTCATCTAATAATTCCTGAATAACCCAGGCAGTGGGGTCCCCTCTGAATCCTTGGTCAGTATTTGTGAATCAGCTAGAAGATCATCTTTAAAGAACCATCCATGCACAGTAAAGAAGAAAAATTACAGATTCTCTGCAATTACTCTTCTATGAGCCCAACTTTGAAGTGAAATCTGAGCTTTGCAGAGAGTGTGAATTTACCAAGGTTCAAAACTCATCCACTGCATCTTCTGTGTCAGATGCAGAGACATCAGCTGCCAGATTTCTCTTGGTTTTGCACTGTCTAGGGGCTGTGACCAAGTCAGGTGGTCTTCTTTGAAAGGAGCTAAATAGGTTGAGCTCTTGGAGCATTTCACCACAAATATTTTCCTGCCTTTCCTGCCTTTTAGTCAACATTCCCCCAGTGTGTGTTCTTTATTAGTAATGTTTTTATGCTTGTTTTTTCCCTAAGTCATCGATAGAAATGAGCATCAGCAGAGAACAGACCCTTAGGGATTGCACTCAAAGCAATGGATTATTTTTAAATAGATGAAATAGCTAAAATGAAGATTGTACAGATAAATAGTGTGGGGTGGGGTTTTTTTGTTTGGTTTTTTTTTTTTTTTTTTTAGTTTGTTTTTGGTTTTGTTTCTGGTGGTTTTTTGGGGGTTGGGTTTTTTTTGTTTTGTTTTGGGTTTTTTTTAGATCTAGTCATCTAGAAGCAAAGCAAGAAAATAATATTACTTTATGATATGGTAATAGCTAATGCTGAAATGTGTTACTGTTTCCAGATGAAACACTTAGATTACTATAATGCAGCACAATTATTTCTGTGCTGTTAGATTATGTTTAAGTAAACATCAAGAGTAGGCTTTATTAAGGAAAACAGAAATCTGTGAGGAATAATACCATGTGCATCTTGCCTTGTGTGTCTCTTTTCCCAAAGAAAATAAGTAGTACATTACTTTCAAAACCTCATGAGAAATGTTTGTCCTGAAAAAAAACCTCTCAGAGCATCTCTGCCTCATTGCTGAGTCATAAATAAAAGGGGGAACTAACCACAGGTGGCAATGAATGTGACCTGCCCCCAAATATCTCATCATCCAATTAATATTTTACTAAAACACCTCATTTAGGCATAAAAAAAAAATGCTTTGGTGAAACCATGAGGGCTTGTCAGTTGTTCCTCTGTGAACTGTGTGGTGTTTCAGCCACAGAGCCCCAGTGGCTGCAGATGGATGGGACCATTGCTAACAACCCTTCAACAGAAAATGCAACTTGTACATCATTCTGCAGACTGGGAGGCTGGAGAAATGAGACAAAGGCACAATTCCCTGTGAATTCGGAGAGAAATATTCCAGATTTGATTTTAAAAAGTAAGTATTTCCCTGAAAGCAGTTTTTACAAGGGGTGGTGGGATATTTATGCAGGTTGGTGCGTTAATACCGAGTCAAAGCCTCAGCACCAGGCTCTTCAGACCTTTCAATAAATAAGATCCCTTGCTGTAAAGTCCTACTGCTTCTTTACACCTCGAAATCAGTGGTCACCCTCTGTCCTGCCACTGTGGTGGAGGTGGCTCTGGACTCTGAGCACGAAGGGTTAAGCTTTTTGGGGAGTGCATCGTTTTAAGTTTCCCGGCGGGTGAGTCATCTCTCAGTGCGCTGCACGAGGTGCAGCAGTCATGTAGCTTTATGTCTGGGAGTCATGAAGTCACCTAATCAGATGTGACTGACACTATTTGACTTGACAAGTCACCCAGGAAAAGTGCAAGGAAACAAAAACCGTATTTTTCTGAAAATTCTGGTTTAAAGCTGCTGCGTTTCCCCAGGTTTTGTTTTACACGGGGCTGAAGAGCATGTGATGGGTAGGGGGAGGGAAAAAGACATGAAAAGGTTTTCTGATGTAGAAAAAACACAAGCTGTTGTCATGTGGGCACAATAATAAAACTTACAGGGGAAGTGGGGTTTGCACTTCTTGCACAGCAGCATTAGGAATGTTATTTCTCTTTGGAGAGGAGAAGCTGAGGGGACACAACACTCTTTGCACAAAGCATGAGCCCAGTTGTGATTTAGGAACAAGCACACACGGGCTTTACACAAGATCCTCAAGAGAAATCAGAGCCCTGTGTCACTATATGGCAGCACATCATGTATGCTGAAGATTCCTTCTCTTTGAAGGTGCAGTTCTGCCACAAGAATACTGAAAAATATAAACCCCTGAGTTTCATGGACCTCAGGAAAAGGACTGCTCTTACACCACATTGTTCTCTTCTGGCTTAGTGTCATGCTCAGGCCACGATACACCAAATTTTCACAGGGCTTCTGGAGTTATTGTCAGGATGAAACACAGCCTCTTCCTCTCCTTCTTTGCCTGAGCATCTCTGCACAAGGGAAAAAAAACCCATTGTAAATCCTGATACAAATCTTTCAGTGAGCATATTTTTCATTTCTCTACTACTACTTACTTTACTCAAGTGCCTTATAATTGGAGATGTCCAACAAGAGTTCAGCTGCAGCTTGTTTTTACAATGGTGTTCTCTTTTATTTCCTTTTTTTTTTTTAATGTTAATTCATACCACTCTTTAAAATTTGACTTGTGAGAGTGATGTAGTTTGGACATTCTGACAGCCCTGTGGGATAAATGCTTGCAAGAGGTCTGTGAGAATTCAAACACCACAAGGCATAATAGAAAAAAAATTATCTGAAGGACTTTCAGGTCTTAAAAAAATTATCTCCTAATTAAGCTCTCATGTTCTAGCATCTGTTTTTCTATTCAGCCATCTTATTCCTTGCAGCCTTTTCTTACCACCTCATTCTTCCTCAGTTAAGCAGGCAACAGCTAATAAGTAGGAAAATATAAAGGTATGATGTATAGATACAACAATTTAAAGATTCAGGTTTCTACAGCAAGGCAATGACAAATCAAGACTTTAAAAAAATCAAGGTATTTCCTTGTGTTGCTGCCCAAATGTGGATTTAGGAGTTTAATTGTAAGCCCCTGAGCTGACGTTTCGTGCCATGCAACAGCAAGATTCACGCTGTGATAAAGTGGCTTCTCAAGAAGCAAGAAATTGAGCCTAGCTGAGGTATCAGCTTTCAAGGAGCTGGCTTTTATTCTCCTTCTGCAGCATTTATCCCCCAAGACCCCTGGCAAGCACAGAAAGAGAAGCAGCTGTTTAAAATTAGAGCAGTACAGATGTTAACAAACAACTGTACAGCCCCTAGCAGGGGCATGGGAATACACCAGAAAATTACAGTATTTTAGCACTGCTTTGGTAGCACTGAAGGTGGTTGTGATGCCTGAGAACTTCAGTTTGCTGGGTGTTCTGTGTTTTCCAGGCAAGGCTTCTCAGCTGCCTGCTCCATACCTGGCACGGGAGTCCATCTGAGCGAACAAGGAATGAGGAAAATTGACAGCTGCCTGCCTTGGCCCTGGACATCCCTATTTCTGGTAGGCACTGGCACAGAGCATTCTGCTTTAGAGGAGATTCTGGGATGGGAGCTTTGTTCCCATGCAGAATGTAACTTTGGAAACCTCCAGTTTCCCATATATATATAATTTTCTATTTACAACCAAGCATAAGTGAGTGTGTTGGGCTGGTGACATGCCTCACCCGTGGGTGTCAGTCCTTTCTTCCACCTAACAGCTGGCAGGGTGAGAGGAAATGGCCTCAAGTTGTGCCAGGGGAGGTTTAGACTGGGTATTGGGAAAAATTTCTTCATGGAAATTGTTGTCAAGCGCTGGAACAGATTGCCCAGGGAAGTTGTGGAGTTGCCATCCTTGGAAGTGTTCAGAAAATGTGTGACTGTGGCAGGTAAGGACACAATTCAGTGTGAACATGGGGGTAGAGCAGGACTGATGGTTGGACTTGGTGATCTGAGAGGTCTTTTCCCACCTGAACGATTCCGTGATTCCCTGCCTGTGACCAGGAGGCTGGAGGGGGATCCTGGCCCAGGCAAGGTCAGTGCTCCTCAGTCTCAGGACAATTTTGCTTTCACTGAGAGAGAGGACAGAGCATCACCTCTTGTTTCCCTTGCCCTGGATCATCCCTGGCTGTGTTTGGATGGCTCTGCAGCCACAGCTGCTGTGAGAGGAGGCCCTGCCTTGTCCTCAGAGAGACCCTCTCAGCCTCATCCTCCCCCAGGGACTGGAAACCTGAGCCTGTGAGCCTGCAGCTCCCACAGGAAGAACATCACATTAGCCTGGAATGATAACCTGGCCAGTCGTGTTTCCCTGGGGGTCTCTCCCAAGGTGTTGTTTCAAACCCACGCTCACCCTCTCAGAGGCTCAGTGTGGAGTGTCAGCAGCATCCCATCTGACCCTCTGGGTTCCCCCACATCCTCGAGGAAGGTCAATCACCACTCTAACCTTTCTTTCCCCCCTGCCCCTCTTTTCCCCTCACAGCTGCTCCGTGTCCAGGTGAATCTGTGGTTGAGTTTGTTATTCTCTCTATTCCACACACCCCACTCTTCCAAAAACATGGCTTATGGAGGTTGTTGAGTATGGTTGCATCACAATTCCCAGTTGATTGCTAAGGGTCAGTTTTGCAGGTTTAAAAACTTCTTCTTGGAGTTCTCTGAGTCCATTTAAATAGAAAACATACCAATAAAACACTGGCAGGTGGAAGTAAAAGAGTTTTTGAAGAAGACAGTTGAGACCCACCAGTGAGAATGAATCTGGTTTGCTTTTCTTTAAATCACGTGGAGATCAAGACTTGCTTTAGACAAGTCCTTGACTACTCCTGAGAAGCATTGCAGTATCAAAAGGAATCTTTCCAAAGTGCTGTGGTTATTTTGGCTGCTACTCTGACAAGAGGTTGCAGAAAAAAATAAGCTTAAGCTTCATGTTGCTCTTTCAGTTTCCTTAAATTTTGGTTTTTCCTGTGTGATACAGTCATTACTATCTGGGTGAACAAAGCTGTCTTGCAGAAGTGCTTCTGAATGTTGGAATCCCAGCTTAATAGATTGAAGCAGAAACCTTAATTATTCTGTGAAGTATGCAAATGGAATTATATTTATTCTCAAAATATAATAGACCTTTCTGAATTAATTTGTATATATCCCTTTTTTCAGAGAGGGTTGTTTAATTCCTGTTTACAAGTGTTTGGCTTTTGTTACTGTGGTTTAGCTCTAAGTTCTCCCCCCTCTTTCTTTTTTCTTTCTCCCATTAGAAAGCCATACTGCAACCTATTTGTTTAAACAATGGTGTTTTCTCTCAATAAATCATCAGATGAGCTATTGGCTTCATAATCTTTACTTAAAAACAAAAATATCCACATGGGTGCACAGCATTTGGCTAATTAATTTCTGATAATTTGCAGTGTTAACAGCCAGCTGCCAGGGGCTCGTGTGAGTGTTAATCTGGGGAAGGAGCCACAGTGAAATGATTGGAGATCTGCTCCTGCTGGTTGCCAGATAAATTCTTCTTATGACAATGTCACTAGGTTAATTAATTCAATTAATGACTCCCAGTGCAATGTTTTTCTTTGTCTTTTCCATTTGCCACAGGCTGCTGAACAGGTACTCCTAGGGATGTATTCTGAAGTTATGTCACAGATAAGGAGTAATGGACCATTTTCATGTCTAGTTCTGAAGTGTCTTAATTTTTTTAATGAAGTTAAGTAGCTGTTAATTCCATCAGAAATTAGTTTCTTTTCTGTTTTCCCTGAAGTGTAAGCAGTCAAATATCCATCACCTTATTACTTTCAGGTACAGTCATGATTTTAGGCAACTTTAGTTTTAGATACTTTTTACTTGCTGTGTAACTTTGCTCTCCAGATGCCACAATCTGGACAGTTGTTTTTGCCCCTGAAAAGAGGAACTGCCAGGCCAGATCAGACCTCAGGTGCATCTACCTTATCACTCCAGCTCCAATAATAGAAGCACTCTCTCTTTTGAAGTTCAAGAAGTAGAAAAGCTCCTCTTACATCCAGCTGATTGTTTTTTTAATCAAGGAAAAAGTGAAAGGAAAAAATAACTCCGAAAGGGAAGAATCTGAGACACCCTCTGAGCTTCTCAAGACTCCTCTGTCTTGGACTTGCTGCACACCCCTCTGTTAATATTAGACATTGATATTTGTACTGGGGTCAGCCCATCAGCCTCTGTATTCACTCTGCTGTGTTTCTCATTCATAGTTTTATTTTTATTCCTTTCCTTGGATATGAGGTGAAAACACACTGGAGTGTGAATGCCAGGTTTGGAAATGAGCTGAAGCAAGTTGTAAATCCACATCCCACCACCACCCAAGTTCTACCCTGGTAGCTGTTCTGGGTTAGCCCCCTTTGGTACGTGGCTAAATCAGATTTAGAACAATTTGAATCATCTGGATGGCTGATTTAAACCTGATGAAGGCTGGATCTTGCCCTGGAGCATCACAGCAACTTGATAAACCTGGAGGGAAAATGCAGTGAGGAGCAACTCGAGCTATGAGCAGCAGATTCATTCCAGAGGTTTACATCATCCACAAAGCTGAGGAACAGGTGATGGCTGATGCAATAAAGGTGGAAAGGTGCCTCTCCCTGAAGTATCTGAGGGAGCTGCAGGAACCCTTGCTCTGCAGAGGAATATCTGCTGGGTTTGACTCTGTTTTCAGAGACTGTCAGCTGGGTCACAGCAGCTCTCTCTCCTGTGCCTCTCTGCAAGGGTCAGCCTCCTCTCCACAGGTGAGTCAAGAATCTTCCAGAGCCTTCCCTGCTTGCTGTGGGAGAGTTTGCTCTTCCCAAACCAGATGCACACGCTCCACCAACCTGTTCAGAGAGGGGAGGGAAAGGGGGCACTCCCCAGGTTCACTGCTGAGCCCTGTGCCTTAACAAAGCCTGCCCTGAAGTTTAGGGCATCTTTGGACACTTGTTATCTAATGAAAAGACTATTATCCCCCTAAGGGGGAAATCACCATGTGCTTTTCTTTAAATCCAACCCAAACACACACTTTTTAAATGGAAACACGCTGGTGGTTCGTGGCAGGGCCCTTCAGCACAAGCAGCTGCCCAGGCAAGCAGCACTCGAGAAGCATCCCCTGAGCTGCCACTTCCCCGCTGTAAATGCTTCCCTTTGTCTCTGGGAGCTGAGTGATACAAATCAGGATATGTAAATTTGGGCAATGGATCTTAATTATGAGCAGCAGGTGTCTGTGCAAGAGTGCTCAGGTGAGGGGGGGCACTGCAGCTACTGTGACTTGCTTGTTGTCGATGTACAAAGGGAGGGCCACAAAGCTCCAATTAATTATCCACGTTAATGAGCTCAGCGACCCAAGTGAAAGGAGAGTGCCTTGTCTGCTGCTCCAATTTAGTCTTCTCAGCAAACAGTAGTTTAAAAACCAGTTATGCAGCTCAGCCTCTGAAGAGCACCAGGAGACAGCAGCAAGGATCAAATTACCATGATAAACCCCAAGAAATCAATCTGTGGGAGTACAGACTATGATGAATCATCCTGTTGGAGAAATTAATTGTCTGGGGAACATTTCTTTGAGATGTCTTGACCAGAGGAGCATCTTCCCAGTGTGTTGGTGAATGAGACCATCTTTGGGGAGACAACACTGCTTACCTTTTACTGATTTAAACATAGGTAATGATTATTTTTTTGTCAGCACACCACTAATCACACTGAAAGCGTTAAGGTCATGTGAGCTGGGGGATATAATTCATACCTAATGTAACTTATAGGTTCCTGTTGGACTGTAGTGTCTGTGCCTTGTGTTTGGACAGGCACAGGTAAGGGAAGACAGACAGGGATGGAGCCTCTGGACTAGGTGGAGTTCACACTTTATGAATCTGAGTGAATAATTCAGTTTCTATGCCAATCCAACTATGACTTTTCTATCAAGAGTGCAAATATTGCACCATTTATTGAAAAACTAAGCATTATTATTCCTTTTTTGCTGAAGTTCCCAGTCTGCTTTGTATCAAATGCATAAAGGTGAAGTGGTCTGTGGTCTGAGATGATTTTAGGTCTTGCTGCTGTGTGAAAGATTAAGTCTCTTCCCCTGGTTGTGTGATGCTGCCCTTGGCCTGGCTGTGACATACATGAGGCTCTGTGCTGAGCCAATTCAACTTACTGGCCAACAGAAAACTAAACCAGGATAGTAGCAGATGGTTGAGATCTTCCTTCTTCGTCCCTTGGTGTTAGACCATCCCTTTTTTCCCCCAACAGAGATATCATGATTCTCTTTTAAGTAAGGCAGTTTTAGTAGTAGCAGACAGGAGCCCCTCATGGACAGCTGGGGACAGTGTCACCTGAACAATGTACTGCAATCAAATTGTGGTTATTTTTTTCCTTTCATTATGGGTTGAGAACTTGGACCTTTCCTAGCATAGCCCAACTTTAGTTTTGTTTTTACACAACTCTTGGATTAGAGCAGATTTCTGTTCCCAGCCCTTCGGTCAATCATCTTCACAACCTTTTTTGGTGGTGATGTTTTCTTTTTGCCCCCTCCAGCTGTGGCAATATCTGAGCAGACATATGGGCCCTGACTGTGCATTGTCCTACACCTCGTGTGGCCACTGTGGCTGGTGCAAAGGGGGTGTTAAACAGCATCAGTCTTATGTGGCAGTGTTTTACACCCCCTGGGTTAATGATTGCTCTGAGGTTCAGAGAAACAAACTGTCAGCCTCAATCCACCACAGTGCAGTTGTGCTGCAAACCCAGGGCACTGCAGGTTGAAGAAACCAAAGCCTCTCCCCTGGAAAACAAAATCAAACACAAAAGAAACAAGATATCCAACAACTGTCCCCATGTGGAGGGAAGGCATTTGGCCACATGACAGCAGGATAAATTAATGGGTGAGCTCACAAGGGAAACAGGATGTATAGACAAATAAATATTAAACAAAGCAAAGCAATACTCCCTGATTTATTAATCTGTAGAAAACTTGTGGCTATGGGTGCAAGTTTAAAATTGTAATATTCTATCCATTCTTGAATCTTTCCACAGCCAGGAGTATTTCTGGGTAAGAACTGAAGCATCTCTGCTTGTTGGGAGGAAATGCTGTTACACAATGCAGGACAAACCAGCCGAGCCACTTTAAACAGCATGAATGAACGAAGGCTTCAAGGTAGGATCAGCTGTTTATTTACATCCATTGTCTCCTTGTTTCCCACACAAATATATTCTGTGTTTAAAATTTATAAAGCTGGGCAAGCCCTTCTCACGCTGTTCTCAGTAAAATATTGCTCACTGCATCCCTCTGAGGGGCTGCTGACAAATAGGCTCTTGTTGTCTAACTTTCTCTCTGCTGAGGTTAATGATTAAGTGGTTCAGAAGGTTAATTCCTGGAGATAGTGTTGTCTTTGGCTTGAACAGATGTTGGTAGTGCTTTAATGTGGTTATCAAACTCTGCTGCCCTTCAGTCTTTGCTCTGTGCAGTCCTGGGTATTGTTCCCCAGTGCATTCCAGGCCCCCTCTATGGAGATCCAGCAGAGCTGAACATACCATTGCATTGGGCTGCCTTTCCCGAGGTCACGCTGGATAATGCCAATATCTGGCACATAAACTGATATGAATCTCAAGGGTGTCTCAAGTTTTCCGTGGTGTAATCGGTACCTTTAGCAGCCTGTTAAAGCACCAGGGGGCTTGGGCCAATATTTGCAGCCCCTGAAGCCACGTCATTACAGGAGCTGCTGCATCTGAGCCCTTTATTCCCACACCCCCTGAGTCGTGACCATCCATCAGTATCTTGCTGTAGGTGGTGGAAGGAGCAGTGTCAGGGATGTGTTTACCAGGCAGCTGGAGTTAAAAGCGTCCAACCTTGCTCTGTCTGGATATGAAAATACAATTTTAATTATGGCATTGATTTTTTTCTTACTGCGTGTTTTTCTAGCTCACAAACTGTATCCAGTTCCAGTACAGTATAAAGCACTGAGTTTTAATTTGGGGAAGGATTCCTGTTAATTTGAAGGAGTCAGCTGGCTTATGAAATCAGGGTGTTTTCCAAGAACCTTGTGTTTCTATAATATGGAGATTGTAAAAAATAAGTCACAGCTGTGAAGAGAAGCTGGATCCTGTGACCAAAATACATACTGGTATTTTAAAGAGTAGGATGCAAAAAAGAATACAAACTTGATCATTTCTGTAAGCAATCCTCAAAAGAGGTAATTTTAAGCCAACCTCATGCTGGGATTCCTTTTATTTGAATGTCAATGCTGTCAATGCCTTAAGTGAAGCATCATCTTGTTTGTTATTATTTGTGAAATGGAGAGGAATTGCTGCTTTTTTTGCTTTTTTTTTTCATTACAAGTTGAGATGAAACTTGAAGCTGGTGATACCTGTGTCCCTACCCAGCAATGCTGTGTTAGAAGCGTTGTCCCCATGACATTTGGCACTCCTAACTCCCCAGTGATCACCAGTGCTGGGTGGCACCATGCCCTGCTTTCAGGATCTCTGGTGCACTCTGTGGCTTTAAACCTGCTGGAAAACATTGTTGTCGTTGCATACGATCACAGGCAAAGTCTTATGGCCTCAGCCTTTGCCACAAACACAATACCTGGGTTTAACTGCTCCTCACCCTGACAGATGTCAAACATCCTTGTGCCCAGAGGCTGCTCTGGGTAAGGTGGCTCTTTATTCAGCTGTGCCACGGGGCAGAGAGGAGGCAAAACTCCCAGAGTCAGAAAAAGAGAAAGAACAAATTATCACAGTAATGAAGGGGCTTCTGTAGGGACAGAGTGTGAGGTCCTTGTGCCCCATGACTCTTCACAAGCAGTTAATTTGGTTTTGTGTCAGACTGTCTTTTAGCTGAAGCTTTTAGCTGTGTCCTCCCTTATTTTACCCATGGGTACCTCTTTAAAGAGCAACTTGTACCCCAAACCAGTTGCAATCTGCAGGAAGGTCTTTTAATCTCTTTGCAAAAAGCCCTTTATTATTAATATTGTTATTGTTTTATTTCATTGCACTGGATTTAGTTTGGATCTCAGTTTCTTACAGAGCCAAAGCGTGGTTATATCTGCTGAGGTTTCGGTGCTGTCCTGTGTGGCTGTGTCAGTCCAGCAAACAGCCCTCCCCAGCTGGGGCCTGGGCTCCTTTGCCTTTTTCTTTGCAGCTGCATCACTCCAGTCAGTTTTTGTTGGCCTGTCATTGATTAGAAACTCCCTCCCACCCGTCCTTCCCTTTCTCTCCTCCAACTGATGGATTTGCCCTCTCTGCTTTTGCTCCTTCCTTGTGACTTGCCCGCCGTACTCGCTGTTGGTGCTCCAAAAGACACAGCTCCAGTCTAAAGGCCTGGCGTGTTGAGGGCTGGTGGGAATTCCCAGGAATTTCCAAACTCAGGGATAAGCTTGGAGGGCATGAAGCAGCTCCTGCCAGGCCGAGCTCGGGCAGCAGAGGGCGCAGTAAGGGGATGGAAAACTGGGAAAAAAACCAGAGAATAACGGCTTTTATGTACTTTATACAGCACCTGACACCTAGAGAGAAACACAGCTAGCCAGAAGGAGCTGGCTGCAGTGCAGTGAGCACACCGGCTGTGTTTCTATCTCACAGAAAAATGCCGTCCCCTCCAAACCATCCCCGTGTATTTCCACAGGTCCGTTGTCCCTGGGAAGGTATCGGAAATTATCCCGGCACTGTCCAAGGGGTGCTCTGAGCACAGGCAGGAATATGCCACACTGAATGGGTTCTAATTTCCCTGGGGCAGTGTGTTGGTTTTTTTTCCTGGTGAGCTGTTGTGCACTTCCCTGTGCCCATTGCACCAGGATATTAATTGACATCGCTGGATCTCTGGGTGTAACGGCAGGGACTCCGCAGGATGGGAACGGTGGGATTTGCATGTGGATGAATTTCAGATTGCTAGCGGCATTCCTGTGGTGTATCTGTTGTAAGTGGTGTTTGCAAGCTCTGGGAGCAGGTGAGGGCTGTGAGAAGCGTGGCTCTGTCTCTGAGGGTGTGCCTGTCCCCCGATCCTTCATGGGGTGACTCTCACAGAAAAAGCAACCCCTCGTCCCTGCTGCTGGTTTCCACCTCCTCTCTGGCTGTGGCACTTGTAAAACACACCATCAGTGAGACTGGCTGAGAAATAGCCCAGCAAAGATAAGGAAAGGACCCTCTTTCAGCTGGAGCAGTTCCCAGCTTGGTTCATCACAGAAATTCAAGTCATATTCTTAAAGAAATCCAAAAAAGTCACTGAAAAGGAGAAAAGTGAAGTACAATAAAGCAATTTGGTGGAGTTTTAGAATGGAGAAAAATAATTTCTCTTTAGTTGAGGAGCTATAATGGAGAGGAAATTCTGGAAGATTTTTTTTTGTGGCTATCAAGGCACGAGAAAAAAACCCCCAGATTATTGTTTCCTCATTTTCAGGTGTGAATTTTCAATGTCAACTGAGACACCAGGGTACAGAGATTCCATTAAGATTAGAACCCAACTAAATACTCACTGGCATCATCAGGTCCTTTTGGAAAGCCTCTCTGGCTGCAGAATGTGCCTGTACTTGCCTGTAATTTTATCCACACAACAGGAAGCCACACCATGTGTCTCACCCAGGCAGAGCAGTGTTTGAGGCTGCTGGGATGAAAATATTTGTGAGGCAAGAACATGTCCTGGATCCTCTTTGCCTTGTCCACGTTCCTGGGTGAGGGATTTTTGCACTTTTTTGAAACAATGAAAGTTCACACCAGAAATGTTCAATTAGCTGTTAAACGCTCTCATCAATTCAGGGATCATTTCCAAATCTGATGGATGGGTTCAGAATCTTCAATTCATTCAAACCATCAGGCGGAAAAACAGTTGAACTCCAGAGGAGAGCAGAGCAGATAAATGCTGAGATGAACTTGCACATCTTTCAGAGGTGCAGAGCACTGGAGAGACAGTGAGTTATGGACAGGAAAACTTCCCAAGTGTGTACTGTAAGCAGAATAATAATGGGCAGTGTCTTTAAGCTAAAGGCTTTCTTTCTCTGACTTCATTTTGATCCGAGTTTAAAAGGCATGGCATTTGTTTTTGTGTGCACACTGAGAGAGTCTCATACCATGCACAATTAAATTATTTCCCCTGAAAATACTACTATTAAAACCAAGAAGCTAAAAAGCGTGCAAATATTCAGTTGAAGAGGAAAAGCTGAAAGAGGACTTCAAGAATTCTTGGCTAAGTGAGCAATTTTTAGAACTCTCAAAAATAATGAGATTTTTAAGTGAGTTTATTTGGAAAATTAGGATATATTTTGGATTTTTAATCGGTTCTGTTTCTCACAGATGAATCCAATGGATTCATGCTGTAGAAACTTCCATGAGAGTTTTGAATTAATGCAACTTGTAAGCCACTGAAAAGTGAATAGAAACAAATATGCGATTTCCAGCTTCATAATGGTGTGATTCTGTTTTGTGTCAGCAGTGCTCTTAAATTCACAGATTCTATATTTTATTAAAAATAGGTTAGGTAACATGAAAACCACTGTGGAGAACGTTTTTCTGAATCCCATCACAGTTTCCTGTACTTCTGCATTATGTATGAACAGACTCAATTATACTTCCACTAGATTTTTAGGCTCTGCCTCTGCTGGCTTCCATTCAAAACTGCATTTTGAAGATGATGAGCTATGAATTAAAAAAAAAAACAAACAAAAACAACTGAAACAAACAGAAAGAAAACCCCCAGCAGTAGGTGCACTGATAGCAATGGATCAGTTTTATTGCCTGCTAATATCCATCCTGTTACTTTTCAAAATACCCAGTTTCCATAGCTGGACCTTTTCCATTGTTATGGAGTGATGAGACATGGCATAAGTGAGCTATTCAAGGCAGAAAAGATGTCAGCATGTTTGCCTAAGCAATAATTTTCATAGCAATAATTTTAACATGAACATGTCTCTCAGTTGCTGAATGGATCCCCATGAAGAGTGTTCATACTGTGCTCAGGGTTATAGAAAAAAGGCCAGGAAGTATCAAGTGACATATCCAGGTTGATTCAGGGAGTTCCTGAAGGAACCAGGAACTGAGCCTAAATTTAGTAAGTCTCAGGGTGCAGCTCCAAAATGCATCAGAGCTACTAAAGCTGTAGGTGCTGCTGAAAAATATCTCATTTCCCCTCAGTCACTGCCCTCTACCAACACTGGTGCTTGTTGAGCGTTC